ACACACTCAAAGTTTAAACACAGGACGATCTACGAAAATATTCGTATAACAAGTTCCTAAAGCCTTGTGTCCACGATGCGAGATCTCGGACGGAAGAAGAATTGACCAATCGTATTGGTTAATTGCCGGAATTATTCAAATGTAATTGGTCAATTCTCCTTCCGTCCGAGATCTCGGACCGATTTCGTGAACACAAGACTTTATAAACGAAAGAAAACGCTTTTAGGAGAGAAACGCAATAATAGTTGCATATTTTATCAGAATTAATCCATTAGGTTTTCTCTTCTTTTTTTCTGAATGCGTAAATTACATGTTGTATCATCTATTTTTGCATAAAAAATATATGCAACATAATGCGTTTACAGCTTGAGAACAAAGAATGTAGAAAAGAACAGAGTCCTTGGTATGTGTTCCGCTAAAAATAACGATTCGTTGTTCCTCGTGCGTGACACGTATCACTAATCTCATGATTGACCACCTAGAAAAAATAATCTGGAATCTGGAGTGTGTCATCGAAAACATGAGGAAATAGTATATGAATCCCGCGGTGCCACGCTAATTGCTTGTTTCATTATTAATATATAATTTTGAAGATTTTTATATTACATAAGAAATTTTTTTTATACTATTAAAAAATATAAGGACTTGTTATATATTTGTAGTTTAAATTTATTCTAGTACATGTAACGTATACTATATCGAGTAAAATTTTTCTCGAAGTGTACCTTTTGGAACGTAACCTTAGACTGGGTTCTAAATTTGAGTTGACCAATCACAGCGTTCGTTTGCATTACGTTGCGTCTCTTGACCAATCAAATCGCCAACAACTCCTTCATGAAGTCAAGAGAGAGTTGTAGATGAAAGCGTAGGTGATCACCAATTACTATTATGACAAAGCTAACCTTGTTTTTGCGTTTTGTTCCTTTGATAGAATTGAGTTTGTTACTTTAATTTGAAATTGTTCTTCGTAAAAGGACAAGCGCCCCTAAACACAAAAAAGAAGGAGTATATTCTTAAGTCCAATCATGATCGCACGAATATTATAACCTGTATCGGCATCGTGACCACGTGTTTGTCGTTTAGCGTAAACGTGTAAGAGATCGCAATTTTATTAGTTTTTCATTAGTTTTTTTATTCAAGTTATCGATTATTTAAACTACACCGACATTTTATAATTCAATATGTGTTTGCTGTGTGTTTTCCAGGAAATGATTTTGACAGAACTCGCCACGAAACTCGGAAACATGCCGAAAAAAATGCAAGGTAAAATTATCACGTTTTCTATAAATCAAATTATTTTTGTTAAATTTCATATCGAATTGTTATTATTAATCTTAATTCTTTCATTACTAAATTATTTAATAATTATGAAAGATTAATTTTTTTTTATATTTTACTTATCGAAAGGTTTTTAAATACATGTAAAAATATTTTAGAACAATCTAATAAAAAGAATTAAGAAATATATTTGTAAATATGAAAATATAGGTAGAATAGTAATATATATTTTATAATATTAAATATAGTTATACAGCTGTAATAAAAGCGAAAGAATTTAATGTACTAAAATGGTTTTGATAAATCCTGAAATTTGTATCTCATTGCATAAATTCTGAAACTTGTATCTCATTGCAGTTAAGTCAGAGATAGAGGAAATAAATGCTGCTGCAGCAGAGAATGTAAATAGCGACTATGAAGAAAATGAAGAAGATGAATCTGATAGCATAGACATGAAGGATAACACTGATAACAATATGTCACACAATGCTGAATCTACTGTAAATGCAGGCTGGGCTGATGTTATGCAAAAGATTTTGAAAACAAATAAACCAAAGGGAAAGAAGACACTTGTATTGGCCAAGGCAAAGAAATTATATGACCTAAAAACAAAAGAAAAGGAAGAAGATATTTCTTTCGAGATTGATGGCATCAAAGCTGAAGTCAAAACAGAATCAGATGAAGCTAGTAATAAGAAGAAACAATGTTCAGTGCAGACTAAATCGAGAATAAGGGAGAAAAATCTTAGTATCAGATTAAAACCATCCATTACAGATCGGGAGCATGAAAGAATGTTGCAAAAAATAGCGACAAAGTACACAGTTTATATTACATTGATAAATTTTGTTTATCTTTTGTTGTTATATTATTTATGTTGTAATTTGCAGAGGAGTCGTGCAATTGTTTAATGCAGTAAAACAGCAACAAACGGTAATTCAGAAAAAATTGGTGCAAGCAGGACCATTGGAAAGAAAACGTGAACAAATATACAAAAGTATTAACAAAAATGACTTCCTTGATATTCTTATGGGTGGCAACAAAAGTATAAAAGTTGATAATCCTGTCAAATCTGAGAAACCTGTTGAGCAGACAAATGATAAAAACAAAGTGAGTAAAGTTTCTATAAATTAGGTTAATTTTAATGCATTCAATATATATCAATATTTAAAAAAAATTATAAAATATATAAAATATATTATAAATATATTATAAAATAAATATATAAATATTTAAAATGATTTATCATTTCTAATATCTATTTCTAATATTATTTCTAATTTTTAAAGCGTTTAATAAGGTCATGTGTAATCGTGTTTATTGATTAGTATATATCTTATTTTACATGGTGATGTATAATTGCAATGTATAACAACAACATGTTTGTTTTAAGGACAATACAATGTGGAGTGTTCTTCGAGATGATTTTGTCATGGGAGCTAAGTTGAAAGACTGGGACAAAAAGGAAGCAGAAGAAGATTCTTCAGCTCCTGAAGGCATGGATAGCGATTGAAAAGTGAAAGATTCTTCTGCTATGAATCCGTATTGTATAAAATTTTATACAATTTTAATTTATTATAGAAATGTCGATATTGACTATATACATAATTGACTGTGTTGATATTTCTCGTTGTAATATTAGTAAATATTACGAGTAAATATTACGAGTAAATATTACGAATTAAAACTAAATTATGAATTTATTTGTGTATATGTATGGTATAATGCTTTGATATAAGGCTTTGTTTTCTATCTTTTATAATTCAATGTGTTCGTTGTAATTGAATATAATAATGCATATGTACAATGAAAATTTTAGATATATTTTTATTATGAAAAACGATTTGTATTGATCATTTATTTATTAATTGATTGATAATTGATTGTTTGCATATTCCTTTTTTATAAAATAATATTTTATTCTACGAAGGACGAATTATTTCTTAATTATAATAAAACTATCGTTTTATTATAATTATATTCAAGATAAGAGAAGAGACAGAACTTGGTCGAAATAATTAGTTATTGAAAAACAAATCTCGCCTGTATTGTTCATGTAGCAATCTAAAAACCGGAAAAGCACACATTATATATACTTCACACATAGAATAATAATAAGAATAATGATTATTAAGAAAAAATGAAGAAAATAAATCTGATAGTACAAGTATAAGAGATGATATAGGTGAAGAATCACACGATGCTAAATCTACCTTGAATGTAGTACTGGTATTTTTTTATACAAAAAATTTTGAAAACAAACCAAAGAAAATAATTAATAATAAATAATGGCAAAGAAGTTGCGTGGCATAAAAATAAAAATGGTATAAAAATAGTACACACACGAACACACACACACACATCAGTATTTAAAAACTAGCAATAATTTATTCATTTATCATTTCGGATAGGCACTAAATTATTTTTAAGACGTTTATCAAGGCCATGTATAATCGTGTTTATTGATTTATTAGTACATATTCTGTTTTACATTGCGATATACAATTGTGTATAACAATAAAAACATGTTTTAAGAACGACACAATGTGGAATGTTCTTCGAGATGGTTTTGTCATGAGAGCTAGAAGTTGAAAGACTAGAACAAGGACGTAGCAGAAGATTCCTCAGCCTCTGAGGACAGCGATTAAAAACTGAAAGATTCTTCTGCTATGAATCTTTTTATATAACATTTTGTGTTTTATACAATGTTTTTATGTAACGTTTTATATAACGTTTTAAATCATTTTAATTTATCATAAAAATGTCAATATTCACATTTTTATGTATATATCGACTGTATTGATATTTTTCGCGATAAACAAATAAACATTGTGAATTAGGAATAACAAATTATGAATTTATTAATTTGTGCATTTGTATAGTATAATTGGCCTTGCTTTTCGTCTTTTATAATTCAGTGTGTTCATTATAATTAAATATTATAACAATATATATGTACAATGTAAACTCCAGATATGTTTCTCGTTATGAGAAACGATTTGTATTGATATCGTTTATTAAGTTATTGATAATCGTTTGCATCCGAGGGGATATTTCTTTTTCATAGAATAAGATTATATCTTATGAAGCAGGAATTGCTTCTTATTATTTCATTATAATTAAATTCAAGATAAAGGAAGAGACAGAGCTTGGTCGAAATGATCAGCTATTGAAAAACAGAAATCTTGTTGTCTATATTGTTCATGTAGCAATCTAAAAACTAGGAAGGCACACAGTATTATATATGCTTCACGCAGAAGATTTTATTCTCATGGTATCTCTCTGAGTCAGTGATTTGTTTTTATGATACACGATGATAACGTATACAACAGTGATAACGTGTACAACTTTTATAATTTTGTTGTATGATTATTTTACACGTATATGTGTACATAAGTGTATCTAAAGCCCACTGTTATTCACTTTCTGAAATATGCTTGGTTCAATATTTTGATACTTTGCTGTATCTGATTATCCAATTTCAACGCAAACCTTTCTTTATTTCCTGAAACTTCCATGAACATGCGTCCCATCTTTTTTTTTTGTAATGTAAATTTTTGTCATGCCTCGTTTAATTCTTTTTCTTAGTTACCATAGATCTATTTTTATTTTATCATTTTTTACGAATACTAAAATTGTTTGATCCAATGTAGATAGTATCATTCAAAAATAGTGAGGATACTGTATTTTATAAATAAGCATATAAGAAGCATATACCGTAGTCTAATAATACAACAATTATCTAATGGTCATGGCAACTACTTAGTTTACCTATAAAATATCAAAGGGAAGAAAATCATTAATTATGACTGTCGGTGATGCCTGTGAAACTTAAGTGCGCTTGTTAAAGCCTGGACGGACTGAGCTAACTTTGTTATGATTCGTTTTTAGATTTTTAAACACAAAAAAAATCTTTGCGTATAAACACATTGAAAATGATTCATTTTTTGGCTCATTTTTCGCGATCGATGTTTCTTTGTTAGGAAAGATTTAAATTATGTAAATTGTCGCGTGATTGAAATTATTTACATAATTCTGTAAGAAGATAATATAATTGTTTAGTATTTT